ATATAATAAAAGGGTAATATGCAAATTGACCCTAACAGCAGAACAACTGGGAATGACTGGTCACTATGACACACATTGACCACCAGGGGGCAGATGCTCAATGCAGGAGATGCCCCCTGGTGGTCAGTGCACTCCCACAGGGGGAGCTCTGCTCAGCCACAAGCCAGGCTGACGGCTGCTAGTACAGCTGTGGTGGCAGGAGCCTCTCCCACCTCCTCAGCAGTGCTAAGGATGTCCGACTGCAGCTTAGGCCTGCTCCCCGCTGGCAAGTGGAAATCCCCCAAGGGCTCCCGGGCTGCCAGAGGGATGTCTGACTGCCAGCTTAGGCCTGGTCCCCTGGGGAGCGGGCCTAAGCCAGCAGGTGAACATCCCCCGAGGGGTCCCAGACTGCGAGAGGGTACATGCCGGGCTGAGGGACCCCACACACAAGCGCACAAATTTTTGTGCACTGGGCCTCTAGTATGAGAAATAAAAACTCTGTGGCAATGACAGAGTGCTCTGCTCAACAGCCCAGCCAGCATGGCTCAGTGGTTGAGCACCAACCCAGGAGCCAAGAGGACCTCAGTTTGATTCCTGGGTCAGAGCACATGCCCGGGTTGTGGGCTTGATCCCCAGGAAGGGACGTACAGGAGGCACCTGATTTATGATGTTTCTCTCTCCTTGATGTTTCTATCTCCCTCTCCCTCTCCCTCTCCCTCTTCCTTTTTCTCTCTCTAAAATCAATGAAAACATACTTTAAGAAAAAGAGTGCTCAATAGAAAATGAGAATTTATATTCATTGTCACTACCTCAACACCTCTTCATATCAAACTGCAGGATGGTTTATATTTCTTTTCTTAGTTTAGACTAGTGAGTGCAGACAATTCTCCCTCAACAAACTCAATAAAAATCATTGGAAAATTGAGTCAGGAAGGGTTAAAGAAGGCTAGTATCTAGCTGCAACTTCTTAGTAATAAAATAGAATTAAAAGCTCACAAATGGATTAGGCAAAACCTTTCTCATACACAACAAAACCACAACCGATAAAAGGAAAAATAGATAAATCAAAATAAAAAACTTTTGATCCAAACTATATAATTAAGGAAGTAAAAACCACACTCACATATTAAAAAAATTGTAAATCACATATGTGATAAGGGATTTATATGCTGGACATATAAAAAACTCATGAGAGATTTGAAGATGGTGGTATAGGTAAATGCTTGTACTCACTGCCTCCCACAACCACATCAAAATTACAGCTAAAACACAGAATAATCATCATCCAGAACCGCTGGAAAGCTGGCTGAATGGAAGAGATAAATAAGAAAGTGCACTGAGACCGGTAGGAGGTGTGGAAGTGCGGAGGCATGTAATGGGTTGCTTCAGCACCCATGTGTGCTGCATTTTTAATCTGGAGGGAGATTGTCTCTGTGGAGGCTCCCAGAGGAGCAAGGGGTCCCAGCTCCACACCAGACCCCCATCCCAGGGTCCCAGATCTGGGAAGAGAAGTTCCTATGGGCAGTAAGAACTACAGGCTATAAAAAAAAGTACAGATTGGGGTTCAGTGACACAGATGCTGCTGTAGACCCAGCTGTTCCTCTTAAAAGGCCGGCACCATGAACTGAACTTACAAGATTCTACTTCCTCTTAGCTCTAGCAACAGGGTGAGGCTCTGGGGGACACAGATACATATGAGGAGGAACTGAATTATCTGGAATCAGGGCAGGAACGTGGAGGTGGATTTCTCTCAGATGGAGGTACTCACAGGGATCATTGTTCCTATGCTGGGACCTCCCTGGTGTATGGCTGACTGGCAGCCATTTCTGTTTGCTCCACCCTGGTGATTCCCTAAGACCCTGCCTCATCCAATTTACAACCCAACATAAATTGTGTGCAGTGGCTTTTGCATATAAATGGCCTGTCCTTATTCAGGCTATAATCTCTCAAACAAACTGCAGCTGGGTCACGAAGCCCCAAACCTATCAATAAAAGGTCCAAGATCCCACACCAGCAGCATCCTGCCTTGCTTTACAGCTGGGCCTCGCCTGGGCATTTCCAAACATGATACAAAGAAGAGGAATCTGCAGATCTCTCTGTAGCTCCTGATGGGTGGCCCCAGGCAGTGGCTGACTTTGCACTTCCCTGGAGACCCAAAAGCCAGTGTACCCAGTGGTTAGTGTCAGACCATACCAGATTACAACTCTACACATCCATAAGTGACACACTTAAGGGACAGACTCAGTGAGCACCAAAGCTCCACTGAAGCAAGTCCTGCTCCATAGGGGTGTCTCCTGCACAGCAGCTCTCCCACTGTAGTGACAGCTGGTCCTCACAGCCAATTGGCCTGGAGGTCAATTCCTCCCAGTGACACCAACAGCAATTAAGGCTCAAGTAAAACAAGACTGTGCTCACAGTCCACAAAGGGGTACATCTAGAGCTCCCAGCTCAAGTGACTGAAGAGGCTGAGCCACTAGGCCCTACAGCAGTGATGGCGAACCTATGACACCTCTGACACGCGAACTCATTTTTTTGGTTGATTTTTCTTTGTTAAATGGCATTTAAATATATAAAATAAATATCAAAAATATAAATCTTTGTTTTACTATGGTTGCAAATATCAAAAAATTTCTATATGTGACACGGCACCAGAGTTAAGTTAGGGTTTTTCAAAATGCTGACACGCCGAGCTCAAAAGGTTCACCATCACTGCCCTATAGGATACCTACCACACAAAGCCACTCTATCAACTCAAGGAGACTTCGCAGCTCTACCCAATACATAGAAACAAACACAGGGAAGCAGCCAAAATGCAGAGACAAAGAAACATGTCACAAATGAAAGAAATGAAAGAAGCAAGCAAACTACTGGATATAGAGTTCAAAACCACAGTTATAAGGTTACTCAAGAATCTTCTAGAAACCTCCAAAAAAAATGGAAAAGAATCAGTCATAAATTAAGCATACCTTGATGGAAATAAAGAATAATATACAGGGATTCAACAGTAGAGTAGAAGATTCTGAGAATCAAATCAATAATTTGAAATATGAGGAAGCAAAAACACCCAACCAGAAGAGCAAAAAGAAAAAAGAATCCAAAAATATGAAGATAGTGTAAGGAGTCTCTGGGACAACTTCAAGTGTACCAGTGTTCGTATTCTGGGGGTGCCAGAAGAAGAAGAGAGAGAGAGATTGAAAAACTATTTGAAGATATAATGCCAGAAAACTTCCCCTACCTGGTGAAAGAAATAGACTTACAAATCCAGGAAGCACAGAGAATCCCAAACAAGAGGAACCCAAAGAGGATTATATCAAGACACATCATAATTAAAATGGTAAAAGTTAAAGACAAAGAGAGAATCTTAAAAGCAGCAAGAGAAAAGCAGTTAGTTACCTACAAGGGAATGCTCATATGACAGTCAGCTGATTTCTCAACAGAAACTTTGCAGGCCAGAAGGGAGTGGCAAGAAATATTCAAAGTGATGAATAGCAAGAACCTACAATCAAGATTACTTTACCCAGCAAAGCTATCATTTAGAATTGAAAGTCAGATAAAGAGCTTCACAGACAAGAAAAAGCTTAAGGAGTTTATCACCACCAAACCAGTATTATATGAAATGTTGAAGGGTATTCTTTAAGAAGAGGAAGAAGAAGAAAAAGAAAAAGATAAAAAAAATATTAACAACAAAA